GATTCCCTATTATAAAAGCTTAGTGAAAATTTACTTATTCAGTTGATTAAAATGAAATAAACCTTACTGTCATGTGTCAATGATTGGTTATTTCCTTCTCCACATAGAAAGATGACAAGTCTCCTTTGTAAAACATGAATGACAACTTATTTAATTCAACATTTAAACATGTTTTCCCTCCTGCTGTGCTAATACTGAGGAAATAGAACAAAGTCAAACACAGCTGTTTTGTTGGGTGTTGTTTTAGGGAGTGCTCTGTGGGTCAGACTTCTGTCTGGTCACAATTGCCTAATTGTGTGATTTTGTTTCTGCAGTGTGTGCTGTGGGTGAGTAGCTGGTGGCTTGTGTGTGTGGTGGTGGTTGTATGATGAATCACAACCAGTGGATTCAGATCATACCAGCGTACCAGGCCTCACTGACCATTACAATCTTTGGGCTATATTCAGTCAAAGTGTTATGGGAGGTGGTGGGGGGGAGGGGGGGGAAGGTTTTCCAGTGTTTTTTTAAAAAGCACAGCAGTTCTAATTTGTGCACCTTCCAGAAGATTGTTTTGGACATTGATTCCTCTGCTTGTTTGGCTATTAATTGGCAGAATTGGTGTGTGAAATGCCATGAAATAGATTATTTCTTAGGTACTGTATTTCTTGAAGAGCAGTTCTTTTAAGTTGCGATGAATTTTTTCAGGTTTTCATTTATCAGAGCCATAAGACTCTATCAGCTGATTATTATCCCCTTGAAAGGATGCAGCTCATGTTACATGCCTAGGATAGATAGCATTCTGGCTGATCAGTCACTTTCTATGGCAACTGAGTGGAAATATAAATAATAAAACCATGATCGACTTGTCTCCATGTCTGTATTACTGTGAGATGTGAATTTGATTGATCCCTACAAGATAACCTCACGGTCACATTTCAGTCCTGAATAAGAAGTGGTCATGAGTGGAGCAGTGGTTCTGCATAGCAATCGATGCTAGGTCCTGGGTTCCATCCGTGACTCCCCTTATTTTCTTTCTGAGGCCCTTTCAGCTGTCAGAGAAAAGACAATTGCTACCTTGCAAGCTTGGATCTGGCCCCTATTGTCTCAATTGTCCTGTGCATTTTTACGAGCTAAGTTCCGATCCACAATCGTTGGTCCATTCCAAAACTTAAGGGACCGAGCAGGATATCATGCTTTTGTGGCACCTACCCAAATTAATTTGATATAAAAACAGTATATATTTATCCATTCGCCCACTATACCTGCAGTAGATTCCAATGCATGTTGGTGTTCTCACATTACATTACGTTGTAATCATCACCTTGAAAATAAGGTATGCAAATAATAATAATAACCCTTGCTTTTGATATTGCGCCTTATCACATTGTTGGGACATCTAAAAAGCGCTTCACAGAATATATTGTATATAAGTAGAATGAAAGGCAAACCCCATAACTTTTCTGTTGCCAAAAAAGTCAACCAATTGCAGTCTTTCAGAGGTTTTCTTCCCCCCACCAAGATTGCTTCCTGCAACATGCCAGCTTGACTGAGAAGATGGGAAAGCACACACAGCTGGTGTGGTGGGTGCCAGTGCCAGGTTCAGCTGTGAGTTAGAGCTGCTCAGCTGCAGCTCCCAGCTTCTCAACTGCTGTGCTGCATCAGCCCAGGAGCTGGCAGCTGTTTGTGAAAGTGTGGGTGTTCCAGTCTTGTCCGCACAGCTCGAGCCGCAGCATAACATGCAAAGAAGAGTACTTTGACATTGTGTTAAAGATTTTAATTTTTTTTAAAAAAATAACCTTCTCACTTTTTCAGGTTGGTTTAGCAAAGGACATATTGACTTGCACATTACGCAGATACGCTGAGGGTCTTGTAAGGTATTGAGCAGTGGAAATTGGGACACTTGGGAGACCTGTGGGTTTCAGGCAAATATTCCATTATTAAATTTATGGTATTGGGAGAAAAAAATTCTACAATTGTTGGAAGTGGTTAGATTTCTGGTGGCATATTTTCTGGTCATTTTATCTGATTGTCAAGGAAATTGTTGCGAGTGGGTGAGTTGGACATGAACTCTCCATTCATACTGAATTGCTTCCACTTTCCCTGAGAGTAAAGTGCATTTATTTTATTTATTGAGGGGACTTTTAGTCTGCAAACATCCTAAACATTACAGTAACAAAAAAGCATAAAGAATGCTGTAACCCCCAGTCAATAGCTTTTCAGGTACTGAGAAGAGTTTTCAAAATATCAGATGAACCCATAAGATTGTGCTTCAGTCTTTGAATTTCTCACTGGTAATTATTTTTAGTGCTGTAGTTCATTATGGCACATAGAATAAACTTCAAATACTAACAATGTAGGTTGAGTATCTCTGGTTATCTGGATCAGGGATGTTGTTTTCTGCAATGGTTCTTACAGTGCAAAATATAAAACTGTACTGGGAAATAACAGGGAATAAGGATGAGAAGAGTAGCTCCAAAGGAGGAGACATCCAACATAGGCTTGATGGGTCAAAAGGTTTCCTCCTATTATGCTGTAATAGCTATGATTCCAAATAATCAAGATGATGAAATAATTTCCATTTAGACAGTCACTTTCATGTAAGAGAAATATCCCAAAGAGCTTTATAAAATATATTTGATTAGAAATGAAGTATAGGCAAACGTGATAGCCAATTTGTGCCTGCTTACGCAGGCGCTGAGGCTCATTGTAACACTGGTGTCATGATGAGCTACCTCCAACATAATAATCCCTCCAAAACAAAACAATAATAAATTGGTCATTTTCAATCCACGACTGTTTGTGGGACACTACTGTACGTAATTTGCTGCTGCGTTTCGCCCACAAATATACAGTCAATTCACTTTACAGCATATTCTGTGAAGCGTTTTGAGACATCAAGAAGACGTGAAAAGTGCTATATCAAATGCAAGGATTATTATTATTATCTTGTAAGATTCAAGCTGCCATTTAAAGTACATTTGACATAATGTTGTCATGTCAATTATGTCAATTATGTCACTCTGGGGTCCCCATGCCTTGGCTCCTGACAACCTGTGCCTAATACTGTCTGGAATCTGCTTCACATCATGAAGCATTTTGAAGTTTAGTGACTGTTATGTAGACAAATGCCATTCCTGATCTGTACCCGTAACATCCCACAAATGACATTCAGATAATTAATCAATTAATCTATTCCTTTAAGATGTTGGGAGAAGCCAAACTGTTGTTACTTGCTGGTTTAGAACATCAGAGTGCGGGTCCACAGTGCTCAAGGGCACTGCTGATGACAGCACAGCCAGACTGGCTCATCGGCAGGACTTGGAGGGGCAGACCTGTCACTGGGGGTAGGGAATTCTCCCACACAGCTCCTGCAAGCTAATGCCAATATGGGTAGGATGGCCCTAGCTGAACAAGCAACGAGAAAGCTTACCAAACCGTGCGATCAATGGAAAGTTATGCAGTTTTAACCTGGTTAGACACCAGCAATACTCCAACGCACACTCTGGGGTCCCCATGACTTGGCTCCTGACAACCTGCGCCTAATACTTTCTGGAATTAGGTAAGCGGGATTCGTCCCTCCAGTGAGAGAGCACATTCCATTCCAACAATCCATCTCTTGAATTTCTAAGAATAGGTCGGATGCATGGAATTCTCAGTTTGGTTTGGATACTCTTACGCATGGTGATGGGTTTCGGCACGTGTCAGACACCTGGTGACAAAACAAAAATCAGAATGAAACTCATCTCCCAGAGATTGAGTGAAATGTTTCTTTCAAAGAAATACGGATTAGAAGTTAAATTGGTCTTAAGCCACTTTGTTTTGACGAATCATCCGTTGCTGATCTGTTTCTCCATTGATCTAGTTCACACTCTTTTTAATCTTATTTCATTACGGTTTTGCAGTTGTTTGTTTCACCATAACAAAGCTAACCTTGTTATAACCCTGTGTGAGAGTGCAATGGCTGCTGGTGTTAAGGCATTAGCATGCTTCAGTAAGCAAGCTTTCATAAATTTTCAATTCTAAAGGGAACTAGAGCTCAGTAGAAATAGCATGTCTTCTTATTACTGTAGCTGTTCATGACATGAGTGGGTTGCAGGTTCTGCTCTCTCCATATTAGAGAGCGGTACTTTTGAATACATAGATTTGCTCTGAAAATTAGTGGTTATGAAGCTACAAAAGATTCAAAAAGCTGTAAGTATCCAGACATCTCAAATATGATAACTTTGCTCAATACTGCTGAACAATCTTCTCTGAACCGACGCAGCAATCTCTGAGCAAGAACCAAGCTTAATGGATTGAGTAACCAGAAATGCTGCTTTGAATGCTCTCGCTAATGTAGTACAATTAACTACAACCAATGTTCAGAAATACTCTCCACCAATTCAATATGGCACAGTCAAGTGAACTGCTCTGTATTTTTCATATTCCTATTCTGATCACTTACCTGGAACAAAATGAGAACATCTTGGTCCTGTGGTTACTCATTAGAAATTAACGCTTGTTCTTGGAAAGGTTGGTGTGAGTTGGAAACAACTCAATACCAACATCAACAACATTCTTTGAATAATGATAGTGGCTTTTCAACCATGATTGGAGAGAGTGCTGGAAACAATCTCTGCATCCCTGGAGATTAAATGCTGTTCTGTCACAAAGCACTTGGTGTAGTCGCCTGGTCAAGTTAAACATAATGATTGATGAAAATCAAGTTTGAATGAAATTATAGATTGAAGCTGTCAGGAAATTTTTGAATGGAAATTGGTGAATCAGCCAAGTATAGAGATTGTTTTACTGGTTAAGTCTCATTTTTTAAAATTCTTTCTTTAAAAAGCAGAGCAGTAATCATTACCTATTTACATGTATTTGTACAATTTTAGTCTAGGAGATGTAGAATGATGTTTAAACATTGCTAAAAGTGTAACGTTGTTTTTAAACTCAATGCGGCTACCGAAGCTTCCTGGTCTCTGTCGGTCATTAATCCTCAACTTTCCCTCTCTGTCTGTTTCTCTTCCCACGCATTACAGACAAATTACGACCGAGGAAGGAGAACAAAGAGCCAAAGAACTGAATGTAATGTTCATTGAAACCAGTGCAAAAACTGGATATAACGTCAAACAGGTAAGGAAACTGTCATTCTGCAAAATGCCATCAATCATCAGCTTGTGAAGCTCCCAATGTCAGTTTGAATATGTAACCAGATGTTTTCAAGCTAATTTGTCAAGATTTTTTTCTCTCATTGCCTCCAAGTAACCTCCTGCAAATTGTAAGCATTTGGATCACAGGTTTTTTTTACAGCTCTCCCATACTCCAGTGAGCCAAGACATCCCCTGTTAGATACAAAATATTTTTTGAAGATTTATTTCTGTTATCCTGTTATGCCCTCGTAATAGAGTGCTTGTTTGCAAACATTCTACTCAAGCTAAAAAGATGGGATCCTCAGGTGTGTGAAGGTTTCTGTCTCAGCAGTGAATACAGCTCTGATTGGCAACACAGTGAGAGGAATGATTCCCAGTACAGTACTTGTTGACCATTCCCCCTCCTTTAGTGCCATCTGCTGGCTGACGATTAACTGTCCAATCTCACCCAAAGCTGTCTTACCGTCTTAGTCTAAAGCCGCCCCTCCCAACCTGGGATTGCACCATCTAACTCCTTTGATGGCAATATCATTAGATAGCATTAACTATCTTATCCATGTTCGCATTTGAAGACAGCTGTACATCAAAAGGAAACTGATTGATTGAAAATCAATTATTTTGCCTTCTTGTTTCCTTAACTTTGAATTAACTGCGGCATGGTGTCAGTGTTTGGGGAATAGATTTGGAGAACCTGCCTTTTGAGACCATTCAGTTTTTACATTTCCCAAGGCACCATTCTGATGTTTTACTTGGGAAGAGAAGGGCGTTGTCTCAAATAATCACATGGTGCCATGAGTGCATCTTTTGAACACTGCTGAATCTTTCTGCCCTTTTTAAGCTGTAGAGCCATCTTCAGAGAAATCTGTTTTTATTATCAGTCGCTTTGTTCAGTGCTGATTTGTCACCATTATGTATCTTAGTGAGTATCACACTCTGCGTATTTGTACGTGTGCGTATTTAATCATTATCCCAACTGTGGAGCTTATTAAGAGCAGCCAATTCATAATCTTCTTTAAATCAGATGCCTTTCACTTTTCTACACAAGAAAAGGTGGCAGAAACAATGGATTGAATGCACCAGAGTAAGTGTTGAAATAGACAGATCTGAAGTAATTTCATTTTATGAATCCTAACCCCCCCCCCCACCAACTTGCCCACACGCATACATATTGGTTAAGTATATATTTACTCAGCGTAAAGCAGGACCTGAATTTCATATTATTTTGGCCTGAATGATGCAATATGACAGAACAGAATGGAAGAAATTTGCTGTTAAGTCAGTAAGCTAGGGGGTTGGCTGCAAAAGGGTCTAATAGAAAATATAAAGCTCGTAACTGAATTTATGGAGGAAATGAACACATGCAACCACGATGAATTGCATCCTGAAAGCAATTCAAACTCACAAGTCATTTTGTGGAGTTTGAATTATGTACCTTATGTTCCTTTTGAGCTTCGTCAAATTGCCGAATATATTTCAGATATTTATTTTCTGTGCTTTTCTGGTCCCGTCTTTATACCTTTTAACATGTGATCTTTGAGAACTCCAAGCTGTAGTAGTCACTAGACAATAATTAAAATAGTTCACAGTGCCACCCAACCACATAATTGAATGCAGTAAACCTCAAATCTTAGTGCTGTTCGCTGAACGAATTCGGTCTTGTTTTTCACAAGCAATAAAAGTGGTGGCTGTAGATAACATTGCTTACTTAACGACATTAATTACTTTCTTGTAAGATATAAAGTGGCCCAGAAAAAAAAAGGACAATGGATCCACAATAATCTCACTTCTAAATGTCTGCAGATTACTTTCTGCTTTGTTATCTGCATTACCAAGGGACTGGCTTCAGTGTAAGCAAGAGTTTGGGTCCTCAATGAGTACAGAGCATAATGAAGGTTGCTCTTTTTCTGTTGGTCGATTGGTACATATTGTAAAGAAAATAACTTATTTGGGTAAAGTATAATGTGCAGATCTGCGTATCTGCCTTTCTCGAGGTTGGAGCAATGCCATTCTGAAAGGCACCCGATCCTTATTAAAAACTCGAACAAAATGCTACTGTTTCTGTATTGAATGCTTGATTGTGATGGGTGCTAATTTTTATTTTTTTCAGGTAAATTGTCTGTCCTTTATCCTTTATTCTAAATTGTAATCAGTGCAAATCCCCATCAATATGCAAATCATTGCACTTTTTTTAAAAAAAGGTTTGATTTCCTTGTGATGAGATTATCCCAATGAGATTATCCCAATGTTCAAAGTATTTTAATTTCAATAACTTCATTTACTTGCAAGTTTTCAATTCAAGGCATACTATATGGATACGATTGGATCTGTTATATTTTCGTAAGAACATTCTGTGCCCCCTATCATAAATGATGCCAACACCACATATTAGATCAGTCTCTACAGGTGGAAGCTCTTGAATTGACCACAGTGGATAGTTTCATGCCTGTTAATGTTTTAAACCACGATTCTTTCAGCTCTTCCGACGTGTCGCAGCAGCTTTGCCTGGGATGGAGAGCATGCAGGAAAAGAGTAAAGAAGGAAGTATCCTTTTCTGATTGTATGACATTGTTTAGGGTAAGGATACTTTCAAAATATTGCTATTAAATTTGACTCATCTAATAGAAAACATAATTTTTTGAAACAAAACCTCTACATGTACAATCTATGCTTTCAAATAGTTGGTGTGTCATCACTGTCAGCAAAAGGGGTCCACAGATTGCCATGTAGAACTTGGGTAGTGCTTGATTAGTTGCTGTTACTTTCTTTCCGATCAAGTCATTATTGGAAATCTGTTATTAAAATGTAGCATTCTGAAAAGTATGCACAGAGTGGATTTATGATTCAAGGTACTGTTGCAGGGAAGCAGAGTATCAGTGATGGATGATTTCCAATGTTCGTAAATATTTAAATTTATTTGAGAACCTGGAATTCCACTATCTCTTCAAAGTTAACATGCAAGACTTCACATGGGTTATTTAAACTTCAGCGTAAATGAAGTGATGTGTTTTGTTATTTCCAGTGGCTGTGGACCTGAAATCAAGTGAGATGAATATTTAAAGGTTCAAGTATTTGACTCAACCTACACAAACCATATGGCATATTTGCAGGAAAAATTCTACCTACAGGTTTTGTAGTTTCAAGTGTTTTATCCACCAAACTGGGTTTTCTTTAACATTTTGGCTTTAGTGATCGATATCAAGCTGGATAAAGCTCAAGAGCCCCCGGCCAGCGAAGGAGGTTGTTCTTGTTAATAGAGAGCCTTGGATCGGTCACCTTCATTGACACCGCGTGCTTGTCGTGTTGCTTCCTATCGGTTAGCTTCCGTTAATTTCTCGGATTGAATGTTGGCTTTCTGTCCGATTACCGTTGCTTAGAAACTAAAATATGGTGTATTTATTTCTTCTGTTGTAACATAATGTATTTTATTGAGTAAAGATTTGCCCAAAAAAAATGTAAAAAAAGTAGAAACTGTAGGCAACCTTGAAGCATTCTTTGAGTTTCTGTAAACGCACTTTTTCAATAACTGGAACGGTACAATTTTTTTTTGTATTTTTGTATCTGCAGAAAAGCACAATTGTGATGCAGACAGGGTCCTTTATCCACCGGGATCAAGTGAGTTTCTTTGGCAGTCGCATCACAGAGTGGCTTTTTTGCGTGTCACATTCCTGTATAAAAAGAAAGGTTAAAGTAGTTTAGAATTTGGACAACTTTTAGGGGGAGTTTTTCTGGGTCCAGTGCGTGTCTGTTTTAGCTAGCTTTAGAGCAATAGTTCTGGGTAACTGCTCGAGGTGAGTGCAGCCACAGCCAGGGTCAGTCAACCATTCTAACATTTCTGCACCTTACAATTGAGGAAGAATTAGATGCTGTTTGGTTAATGGGTCACTGAAGAAAGGGGTAATTTCAGTTTTTTTTTTGAATGGGCATTGATTTTAGTTCATTTGACCACATTAGATTTATTTCTGGTTAAAATCTGTGCCTTGTTTTTGCTACAGAATGTACAAGGATTCTCAAGAATCTTGACATAAACTGTCTGGCTCTGTTTTTATTCAATTGTAAGGTTTCATAACTGGGAGATAGATGCCAGGTAGGGGCAGTATCATTTAGTTTCAGTATCATTAACAATTAGTCAAGGCAGTCTCTATTCACTATTGTGGACTGGCCCAGGTGCAGTGGCTTTAAACAAGTTGAGAAAACACAGTTCAGAACTGGAGAGAGCACTGCAGAGGGAGTTTCCCTAAGCACTGTAATAGAAAGGAAGCATGTCTGTCAAACTCTCAATAAAGTGTCTTACCATATAATTAAAGGATTGTTCTGAGTCTTGTATTCATTCATAAAAGCTAAAGTCACAGATTCTTTTCCATACATTATGTTGAAAGAATACATCAACCTTCTACACTGAACATAAAATATTTTAAAACATCTGTGAACAAGTGTGACTAATGCCATGGTCTGATTTAAAGTGCCAAGACAATGGCTACAAAATCATACCTATTAGATCCAAATAACATTTTGTCTTGTTACTCTCCTCCTGCATACAAAACCCTACAAATTAGACCCTAATCTACCTGCACATTGCAACAGACTAATATATAAAGTCTAACAAATGGTGCATCCATTCAGACTCAAATACGGGAACAAGCATTCACTATTCCGCATATAATGAAAAATTAATCACTGTCAAAGGCATTGCAGTACTGTAAATAAAAAAAGCCAAACATTCATTGTAAAATGCTATAGAAATTAGCTTACATGATAAATTACTGAATCACTTACAGAATATTTGATTGTTGTTATCTTAATTGTTCAATATTGTACTGATGAACTGGGCATCTACAGCATATACCAGAGATGTACAATGTCCAAAGAATTATCAGACAGCTAATATAACAGCTCACCATCATCTCTGGATCACTGATGCAGCTTGAAGGAGCAATGTTACAGCGCTGGACTGGATCCAGAGTTTGAGAAGGTAGTCATACAATTTCATGCCAGTGAAAAAGTGATTACAAGCTGTTGTGTTCTATGTCTTTTTGAACAATCTGTTCCTGGAAAAATATTTAGTTTGCAATTGCAAACTCCAAGCACCTTCAAATACAAAACCATAAGTTTGCATCAACTGAGGTTAATTAAATCCTTGACCTTTATTGTTAAATCTCCAGACAAGTTGACATTCCTGTAATTAAGGCAAAGCAGTGGGTAAAAAAAGGCAAATACTATTTAATTCCAAATATGGAAATTGGTTCAGCTGACATGTGGAAAGAAGCAAATTCAGTTTGCTCAAGATGAAGAATGTAGCTATGGTGAACTCTACACTTTCACAGCACTGTACTTCCCTTCCATTGAGCAAATGTAAATTTGTTTACCGGCAAAACAATCATCAATCATACTCCAATCCTATTTGGAACTTGTTTGCTGAGTAATTATGCAGTCTCAATACATGCAGGACACATGGCAAAAACAATGTGAAAACATACTTCATCCCCATAACTTTTCCTCATGGCTTGAAGCTCATGCTGTCTTAAGCAACCACGTTTCCACAATCCCAAGGTCAGCCTCTCCATCTTCTCCTTTGTTTCCTCTTGCGCTACATTCCACAAAATCAACTCTCATGGGCACCTGTGAGAAATCAAAGTCCTTCCCTTTCTTTCCCAAGGGTACTGCACTACCAATACCGGATTCATCTAAAGAACTTGGTGCAGCAGAGCGAATCATCCGCAGAGTGTTGCTGTTTAGGGTGAAACATAAAAAGTATTATTAAATAATGCCCCAAAATTTTTATTAAAAATGAATTATTATATCTAAGGATATGAGGCAATCTAATTATGTTTAAGTCAGTATGAAATATTAGCAAAAACAAAATACCACCTCCATTGACTTGCATCACAAATCATAATTCCCTGAGAAGCATTAAACAGAAGACATATGCATCTTAAGCGGAAAAAAAGTTAACAGTCCACACAGCACCAATCCTTTCAAACTGAACAAAGCAAAGAGTTTGGATATTCCACATCAACCAGACTTCCAGCTTTTCATTTAAAATATGTGCCTTGGGAAAAAAAGAAAAACAAAACTTACATTTCTTTTTCCAGTTGCTGTTGAATTAATTTTGCTGATTTGGCCATCGTCACATCTAGAATGAGAAAGAAATTGACAGATTAAATGCATTAACTAAACTGCATTTAGTCAGCATTTTTATACAGACAGCAGATCTTTTGCAAACATTTGTCTAACTGCTGTCTTATCAAGCAAGTGCACAGCTATATTCCTCCACTATATTTATTTATTTTTATTTCTATATCTCTCCTCTGTCCCAAATCATGTCAGTGAAGAAAACATTTATTTTTACCATTACCTATGGGCAGATTAGAATCTGGTGAAAAATGGGAGCCCTTATCCTCACTCTAATTCAATACACATGGCAGAATATTTTTGCAACCCAGAAGCAGAGGATTTAAAATATTAATTTCCCCCAAATTAAACAAGAAATTCTCTTTTAAATTATTCTTTAATTTATAATAATAATAATCCTTGCATTTGATATAGCGCTTTTCACGTCGGGAGGACGTACCAAAGCGCTTCACAGAATATACTGTAAAGTGAATTGACTGTATACTTGTGGGCGAACGCGGCAGCCAATTGCGCACAGCAATGTCCCACAAACAGTCGTAGATTGAAAATGACCAATTTATTATTGTTTTTGGTTTTGGAGGGATTATTATTAGGCTCTGTGTGGAGTAAGGAAACTTGCCCAAGGTTTCACCCTCTGCCTGGAATTGAACTCAGGTCTCTCGCTTGTAAAGTGAGTGCTCTAACGACTGAGCTACAGGACTCCACAGAATTATTGCAAATATGCAAGAAAAGCTAAATGATTTTTTGTGATTCTGGGGTAAATTCACGACTTTCACAACTAGGCTTGCTTCTGTGCAATCTCTACCAAATTGCAAAATGCACAGTTATTATATCAAGCTAGCAATGTTGCTCAAGACACAAAGTGTGACCTGGACACAATATAGATGGTCATACTTCAAATTAATACTGCCCCAGGTCCCCCTTTCAGGTTATAAGGTGATACTAGGTACTACAGATACCAAGAACCTTACAAACACCTCAAATAAAAGAAATTTATAAACATACTAAGGGGATAAAACTTACTGCATCTATACTAAGATTCCATCACAATTTGCTGATAAATTATTTGAAAACTTTATTCAAATAACTATCTGAGAAACAATAGCCATCTCAATAATTAATAACTAGTTTATTCTACAAAATGCACAGTCAATCAACTTTACATTATATCCTGTGAATCGCTTTGAGATGTCGCAACATGATGTAGTGCTATATCAAATGCATTATTATTATCACAGACTACAGCAAAGGAATCTGACAGTTTAATAGTAACACATGTAAGTGATTCAAAACTGAACCACTGGATGGTGCTAGATAAAATCTCAGAACTGCAACACTTCAAACAGCAAGCATTCGCAGTTCAAGATTTGCAGTAGGTGATACTGAAGGAGTACCGTAGTCTTATGCTGACAACACAATGACAGGCATTAAAAACTTCAATGTCCATTCAGACTTTACCTAGTTAGCCTGACTAAATCCTAGACATCCATGAGCTACAACATAAAAAATAGATCCCATGTTTTGGAAAATGCACAACGCCCGTGTCTTTTCTGGTTAGGAGAGGAAGTTGGGGAAAGCAAAATTAAAAGCATTGCCTGAACCCAACAAATATTAGATGGTTTAGACATTAACAACACAAAAAAGCCATTTGGCCCATCACATAGATACGTAACAAGTATCTTTACTTTATCAGCGAATACAAAAGTTACTCCCTTGAACAAAGGGACCAACACATAATTATTACCTCAGTCATAAGGCAATACAATTTCAATGAATCTCATATACCACCCCCACACACACACGCACACACAAAGTATTTAGATTATACATAAATCCGGAGTACAAATCTTCACCATACCTTGTTTGTTACAGGAAATCAGGAGGGGCGTCGCATTATTCACAATCTGTGGGTCTGTCAGCAGTGTGTAGAGGAACTCGGCCACATCCTTTACCTCTTTCTGGAATGACACACTGTCCACCACAAACACGATGGCCCTAAATAAAAGCAGGAATAAATAGTCAAGCACAATGAGCACAGTACATCCAACATTATAAATGTTCTGGAAATTACGTTGCTTCTAGTTTGCTGCCTTCACTTACCATTTAAAATAAGATCAAAATAGTAAGTAATAAATTCTACAATAATTCAACAACATCCATGTCTGGAGTAACTCTTATTTACTTGCAGCTATGGATCTGTACAACCTACTATCTGAGCAACATGCATTTCAAAAGTTGATTAAAAATAGACAAATCCCAGGGTAAGAATTGGATTCTAGAAAACAATTTACATCTATCATTAAAGATTAAAGTGTCTTTATGAATACTGAAAACAAACTAAATAAGTTGTGGATAATGCTGAAGTTATAATATTGCAAAATATCTATACATAAATCCTTGTCAGCAATATGCTGTCTACATTTACATGAAGTACAGAACAAAATTATCAGTGCAACTATTTCATTCACAATGGGTTTTCTGACAGCTTTTTTTTAAAAAAAACTTCTCTTTGTCGCTGAATGAAACCAATAATATTCTGTTAAAATCCCATACAAATCAGGACATCACAGACAATTTATGTGTTAACCATCACCTGGCCTCAGCTTTGTGCTTCTCCAAAAACTGAAGCCGCAGGCTCTCATGACCAGGAAGGTCATACAAGTGAAGAGTAGGTCCCTTTAAAAGAAAATAGAGGATTAGCAGAGTGCGTTTAAAATCGTTCTCATCCTCCAGATGACAGCACAGCTCATTTGCACTTGACAATTCTAGCATTATCTCACTGCAACAAGCAGGTGCAAATGTTTCCATTTTAAATAATCTTGGATAGCAGCACACACCTCTTCTACCAAACACCAATATGAATTAACTAGACTGTACATCACTACTATTGCTCCAACAGATCAAACCAGGAGAATATTCAGTTCATTACAGAATGGATAAAAAAGGAGCATAGAGAAAAACGGTTTGATTCCCTACATTACTCCAAACAAGAGAAAAGCCAAGCAGTTTGCCATTTAAATTCCTTCCAATGAATCCTTCCTTTATATTACTTAACAATTTTGTGCATACAATACATAAGCACTTTTATTTCTCTTCTCTCCATATGAACATTTATGTACATTTGAAGCATCACACACCTACCTTATCACTTTTAACCTTGTACGGTGAAGAGTTACTAGTTATCGAAGTCTGGGTCACCTTAAACTTCCCAGACAACAGCTGAAAACAGAAAAGCCAAACACAAAGTATCTTTAGAATATTTTAGTACTATTATAAACCACTAAATTAATTCACAACTCTCAAAAAGAGCTGTGTGACAACTAGTTGGACTTATTAATTAATGCACACATGTAAGCAAAAACAGTTGAGACACTTAACTTTCCAAGCATAAAAATAGTTTTTACTACCATCGTCATGCCAAGTTGACAGAGAGATTCGCATTAAGTTTGGTCTGATGTCCAACAACTTGCATTTATTGAACTAGCCTTGATAAAAGTGGTTTCACCAGAATTCACACCAGCATGAATGCAGATTGTGGAAATAAACTGGGTTTCTACTCAAAAATAATCATTTTTAAATTTCTATCATCAGCATATTCTGATAGCTGATAGTCAGAGTAACACAGGCAGACAGCGTGCTTGCTTCTCACTCAGGAACCAAAAGGGCTAACGGTAAAGCAATGCAATAAAAACTTTGCAAACTAAAATACATTGCTGCACACTCTTTTGTTTTCTTTCCGTCCCGATCGCCCTTTTAAAGTAACAATATCTACTAACCCTACAATAGAAAAGAGTCTTCCCAGAATCACATAGACCAACAATCAACACTGCTCTGCGGCTACTTCTTCTTCTCCGCAAGAATATGAAGAAAACTGAAAATCAAAAAAGGTTCCATTACATATTGCTGAGTTATGAATCCTCCACAACAGAGTCGAAACTTCATCTCAGGATATGAAAGCTAATGATACCCAGCTGCTAATCAACAGGTACTTTCAATAACTGCTTGAAAGCCATTAGTGACAGCAAGAAAAAATTTGTGTTTTTATAGCTCTTTGTCATTCAATTTAACCTCTCATCCAAAAGACAATGCAGCACCACCCAAATACTGGATTTATGTCTTCAGAGACTCAGATCAAATCCCAAACGGGATTATCAGGGGTTTTTTTTTGGGGGGGGGGAGGGGAATAACTGTTAACGTCTTGACACCACGATTACAAGTAGCTAATCCAGACAAGAGTTGCTGCATATGTACATGGAAATGTCACTGTTTTGGGAATATAATGCACTCTCTTCCCCCTTACACGGATTCACCCTTACTTATTTCCAGAAGCGTTACTATTAGGCAAAGGCTGACGATGATGATGATGATGATGGTCGAGGCTTATCGCTGGGGATTTAACCGACTGAAGCCACAGAACTTGCCAGCAACTGAGCCGGATCCCTCGGTGACTGACGCGAGTGCAAAGCCTCTGAGCCTGTGGGCCTCGAGCGTCGTCGGTCTGGCCGTAACGCTTAACAGAAGGTGAAGCAGTTCCGCAGCAGGTCCAAGCGCAGCTTTGTGGCCGCAGAAAGAATGAGCCGCGCGGGATGGCGGTCCTGGTCGGGGAGCCACATCAGCACTGAGACAGGGGCGGGTCAGAGGGCGACGCCGCTGATGCCGACAAGACTCCAGTTTGCGGGGGCCTCATTTTTTAAAAAAGAAAATATCTGTATTTTTTTATTTAAATCTGCAAAAGTTCTTTTTCTACACGGTTTTTTTTGAGCAAAAAACAAAAGCACTCACCTATATATATATAGGTATATATACATATATGTATATATATATATCGGCCACTCTGCTCCCCACAGGAGGCAACGCGTAATATTGAGCCCGTTTTGGGGGCTGAGTACAAAAATAACCGGTATATACCGCCCCGAGTGAGTGAGTGAGTGAGTGAGAGAGAGAGAGAGTCCAGTCCCAGAGTCCGACCACCACAACGCGCGGCGCCGGAAACAGAGAAAACTCCAGAAACTCAGCGGGAAACATTACGACGGTTTCAGTCCGAGCCCCGCACCGCACCGCACCGCCCGGGTGAATCCGCGGCCCTTTCACACTCTTTAAACACTCCGCGCTCACCAATCGTCAGCAGAACTACGGCCAGGGAAACGGCAATGCCCAGGACGGCGGGATCCTGGCGTTGCAACTCCCGGCGCACGGCGTCCACGTAAATCTGAAGAGCCGCCGCCGCCATCTTCCTCGTGTCACTGTGAGCTGCCCGAGTGCATGCCGGGACGAGTACCGCTGCTGCCGGTTTGAGGGGACGCCGGTGCATCCCGGGAAGTGTGCCGCTGCTGTCAGGTTGAGGGGACGCCGGTGCATCCCGGGAAGTGTACCGCTGCTGTCAGGTTGAGGGGACCCGGTGCATCCCGGGAAGTGTACCGCTGCTGTCAGGTTGAGGGGACCCCGGTGCATCCCGGGAAGTGTGCCGCTGCTGTCAGGTTGAGGGGACCCCGATGCATGCCGGGAAGTGTACCGCTGCTGCCGGGTTGAGGGGACCCCGATGCATGCCGGGAGGTGTACCATGGTTTGGGGACACAATGTGGTCCATGATCTACAGATGGCAGCACATGTAGATCAGTCCCTGTTACTGTCAGATATCATTGGCTCCCACCAGCTATTGTTGGAATGTAATTGCATTGGGAGGAAAGAGAATAAATACCATGGATATCACAGAACCAATCATAACCATCGCCTACCCAGTAAATCTAATCAAACACAGAAATAAGATTCTCTAATCAAAGCAACCTGACCACATGCCTTTGACCTGAAATTAAAGAAGATATCAAAAACATAATCGAATGAATTACTTCCTCCATTTTCTAATATCTTGCAGGGATGCACTCATTTAGTGCCTCTCTTTCCTCACATCCACAATCACTGTGCCTTTTGTACTTTGCATCACAGTACGGCTGATGCCCACCTGATCTATGTCTCAAGCCAAAGAAAAATAATTGCCAATCATTTTTTTGTATCCTAAAAATCCGCCTCCCTTTAAGGGAAACAATTTAGTTGTTGACATTCAATTAGAGTCAGCATCAGATTTTGTCAGGAGGTGAATTGGTGAAATTAATGAACGTGGATTCATGGAATGCAAATCCTATTCTGACCATAGTCACAAAATCATTACAATATTGTGCTGAAGCTTATGTTGAATCCAGCAGTACCACAATGCACACCTTTGATGTCCCCAAGCCTTGGCCATGTGAATGCGAATGTATTATTGTTTCCTCCTGTGTCAGATAACCGACTGTCTAATAAATAAAGGAGGAATAAAACATGGAGAACAAATGAAATATTACCCTATTCATAAGAAAAAAAATGGATTTTTGTTTGAAGTCCCAAATCTCCTGTACACCCAAATTAGAAGGCCAATGTTCCCATACTCTGCAATGCTATCCATCCAATTGGAATTAATCTTGCATATAAAAAAAGTGAAAAACTGCTTTGTGACTCCATCGAGTTTGTCGACTGTTGGTTTTCGTAAACTAGGTTTAGTAAATTAGGTAGTTGTGCGCGGACAACCGCCTAAATTTGTAATGTTTTAAATTACTGTGCGCTTGAAGAAAATATCTCATTTTACTCTTGGGGTGGCATGCGATGATACTTAGAATGTTCAATGTTCTGGGTAATCAATAATGATTTTCCTGAGCAGAGAGAGGCACCCTGCCAGCCTTTATTCTTGGCTCTTTGATTGTCCAACTATGACCCAATGTGGGATGAGATTATAGTATAAAAAAAACCCATTGTTTAGTCTGATGGTCCATTGCAAAACAAGCAATTGGACCGTATTCAATGAGGAGAGGGTAAGGAAGAGTACAACCCATTAATGTGCGTAGATTTTCAATCCCGATAAAATTATCTGCTCCAGTGCATTCGTTGCAAAGGGTAACATTGGTGTTTTATCATAACGATTGGGTGGCGTTTGCAGAATTGGCAGTTCAATTTCACATATTTCCTGCACTCCATCAATGATATTTACTCATTTTGAACAGGCAGCAAACACTTGGCTGCAAATAAGTACTTTGAGGACTATTGAACGGGATTGTTTGTGAAAATAATGCAACACTGGCTTCAGTTAAGCACTGTGTATTTTAAGAGTTTACACAATCCATTAGGGTTTACTAATAGCAGAATTACATTTTTGATTGATCGAGGGATTAAATTACCCAGCCAAGAAATATAGGTCCAGTGGTTTTTCTTTACAGTCGGATTCTCTATTGAGATAAAGACAACTCGAAAATGTATTTAGTGAAAACCTGCCATGTCATGCTACGAAATTGCATGTTGTGCACATCACATGGGAAATAGTTTCTCCAGTTATTTGTTCAAATCGTTTTAATTTTATTTTACAAAAAACAGCGTGTCTGAAACTCTTCCCATTTTGCATAATCTTTCAAATCCCATCTATTTCTTTCAAATTTGGCTGCAGGTTTCACTGCCCTCCCCATTTCTTGCACTAATAATTTTAAATGCACTGACTTGTGCTAAACATTGGGATTTTTTTTCGGATCTGTTCATCTGATTCCTCAGTTTTAACGTGTGTTTGCGTCCGTCAATTTCTGCTCTTATTGCATTTACGTGTTTTTTTTTACACACACGCACCCACCTGACATCATTCGGGTGGGTGCTGGTGTTTGCTGTGTCCACGACGTGTTCATTGCTCTTTCAAATTCCACTGCGCGTCTCTCTGCTCTCGTTGAATGCATTGATCCCCGATGGGAATATTAAATTCCCAGCAAAGGTGCTGTTCGCGTGGGGGCAGGAAGGCTTTGCTGGAAGAGGATGTGATCCCCCCCAAAAAAGTGGTGGGGATGGATGGATGGATGGATGGATGATGGATGGATGGGGGTTGCGATTCAGATCCTATCAAAATTCACATCAACGTCAGGTATCGAATAACAAAGCATAAGGACACGGATCGGTTCTCGAGAGGATCTGCTTCGAAGGAATGGAAAGGGTTGCAAGAGGCTGATGAACCCCTGTAGTGACCCTGTTCAGCATCTCTCTCTCTCTCTCTCTCTCTCTCGTTTGCCTGTGCGAAAAAGGGGGGCAGCATCTTCCAGTCTGTGGGTGAGTCAACACGAAAAAAAAAATTGCCAAGTGCAGAAGCGAAAATGCAAATGCAGGAAAAAAAAATGCAAACGCAGGGGGAAAAAAAAATGCCAATAAGATTCGTCTAAAGGTCAGGATCCCGGGAGCTCTCGGGTGGTTTGAGGGGATTTGCAAGGCTTTGCTGACATGTGCTTGAGATGGCTATTGAGACTTGCAATCCAATCGCCACCCCTTTCCCAAGAAAGCTTTTTTTTTAAATATATACTGCGGCTGCAACGTTAAGTGAGGATGAGAGCCCTGGGAAACACACACACACACACACACACACACACATTGCACCGTTGTTGGGAACCTCGCAATGATCAAGTGCATTGCTGATCAGCACCGGGATACGCAGCAGTTCTCACTGCACGGTCAGGGTGGGGGGTGGGGGGTGGGGGGTGGGGGTCCCGCCAGCACTTGACCTGGATGATGTGGTGAGCTTTAAAAGGCAGGTGGGGTTTTTTTTTTTTTTGCATCTGAGCACACGCATCCAATTGCATCTGATCCGGGATGGGTAGGTGGTTGGGGTGGGGATGTTTCATTCGTGATGAATTTTTGGCGACTTGGTTGCAAAAGTAAGCGTTTTGCGCAGTAAACTGACCAGTTAACGCAACACATGCGTTAACTGTTGGAGTGGAGCTGGTGCTGGAGCTGGTGCTGGTGCAGGAGCTGGTGCTGGAGCTGGTGCAGGAGCTGGTGCTGGTGCAGGAGCTGGTGCTGGTGCAGGAGCTGGTGCTGGTGCTGGTGCTGGAGCTGGTGCTGGTGCTGGAGCTGGTGCTGGTGCAGGAGCTGGTGCTGGTGCTGGTGCTGCTGCTGGAGCTGGTGCTGGTGCTGGTGCTGGAGCTGGTGCTGGTGCTGGAGCAGGAGCTGGTGCAGGTGCTGGAGCAGAAGCTGGAGCAGGAGCTGGTGCTGGAGCAGGAGCTGGTGCTGGCCATGGTGCTGCAAACACACACACACACCACACACAGTACCAGCTGCCAACCTGGGGGCCATGGTTGTGCTTTGTAAAAGCTGAGGATCCATTTTTCTCTCTCTCTCTCCTCCATATGGTTTATTTTGTCACGCAAATTATTCTCAGAATCCTATTGGAAGGTGCATTTCATCGTGCGAATGTTTTCTCAGCTAAAATGGAGCTGGTTGTTTTTTTTTATATATGATGTATTTATTTTTTTGAATTAAAAAAAAAGCCATCCATTCCAGTAGAAGAAGCCACGGTGATAATTCAATGTCGATTGGGGTTGTTTTTTTTTACACACACACACGTGCGGTGTGATTTCTGAGCAGTTGAATTGCAGCAGGCGAGAAAATGTTCTTTATTGGCAAACAGGCGGATGTCAGGATTAATTTAGTCCACGTCGATGTTAAAAGGGATCAATCAAAATGGATTAACCAAACCATGACAATATTTGGATCCAAATTTGAACCGTGCTTCCAGGTGAATTATATCAATTGCAAAACAACCCAAATTTACAATAATTAGTTGTTTGAGAACCTTGCTTCCAGGACGCATGTCCGTTTTTGGTGGTCGTTTTGTGCGCAATATCTTTGCATTTTTGTTTGTACACATGTCGCGTCTTCTGCTCCACAATGGAACACGCAACGTCTGTGCACGGATAGTGCCAATACAACTGGCATCACATCGGCAGTCGGAGGTAATGTGGCTTTAAAGACGTTTCTGTTTTTATTCTGGGCATATGTAAAATGAGGAATCAATGCAGCCGAATAGATCTTCGGTGGGAGCAAAGAATGCAGGTGGTCTTTTGTGTGGCCTTTGCCAAATAAATGAATTTATCTTCCCCACAGTCCCTCCTTGGTGATTTTCTTTGGTTCGAACCAATCAGTTCAAATTTACACACTGTAAAGGTAATATATTCATATGTTTCATTGCAATAATTGCCAATTTCAGGTGGCTTACTATTGTGCATGTCTTTTTTTTATTAGTACTAAATCATGTTCAAAGAGAAAATTAATAGATTTATTAAAATGAATCAACCTACCAATCTAGCACTGAAATTTTGAGTTTTTTTTGTGTTAAACTTTGAAATTATAAAGATCACAACAAATCTAGTAATCATTCACTTCACTTGAAATATTGTTGTGACTCATAAAATGGCATAGAAGGAGAAATGCTAAAGAATTCTGTGTTGCGTATTTACTTTTATCTGTACTTTAAAATACATTATTTCTCTTTCAAGTGAAAACATAAAAACAGGTCACTCATTGTTTATAAATGCTTGTAGTATACAATGTCGCTGTATTTTATGATTGTTTCTCTAAAGCGTTTATTTAGACTTAAACTTTAACCCTATTTATAGATGTCAATAAAACAAAGTTTTTTATGAGCTTATATTAAAGCCATGAACAGTGTTTCCAGGAGTAAATGGCAAACCCATAAAGATTGTGCAAACAAAAAGTGGGCCCTAAACCAAAGCATTGCAAACAACAAAAAGATTTTAGATACAGAATATTGCATCACATTTTAATTGAGATGTCCTGAAGTAATCAGAGATTACTCAACAATAAACCAAATATTGAAGAATAAAGTACCAGAATAATGATGACTAACATCAGTACATTTTTGGAATCCCACCTGTAACATTCAGAAATTCATTATTCTAATTCACTACATATATTCTGAATCAAAGATTTACAATGGCATAAAATATATCTGAGGCTATCTATCAACACATCTTCAGTGGCTTTAATATTTTACCATTCAATGGCTTAATGCATTGTTCTTGAGTTTAGCAATAAATTATACTTATTACTCACCAAAAATGGCCAGGCTCCAGATTATAATTAATACACGGCTTCCCTTCAATGTCTGGTTCTCAGAACTGATTTGTTTTGATCATTTCTTTTACGGTTTCTTTTAAAAAAATGTTTTCTTTCATTTTAATGAAATGGATTTCCCAATTATTTAGATCTGCCGTGATCAAATTGTACACAGCTTTGACAACCAGATAATGTTTAGAGCTTTGAGACACAGTCCTGTGTGAAGAGTGCAGGTTGTTGTTGAAGATGCTACTCGCTGATTGAAGTACTATAGGGTCACCCAGTTATAAGGTACCCCTGATTTAATGTGGGGCTGCAGGTATACCTGGCTTCTGGCACCTGACAATTATTATTTATGATACACTTTTGGACGTTTCGCCCACAAAATATAGTCAATTAACTTTACAGTATTCTGGAAAGCGTTTTGAGATGTCCTGATGACATGATAAGTCGCTGTATCAAATTCAACAATTATCATTTTAATGTGTCATCAGGCCATAAAACAAAAGTCCTTTATTTGGTAAGTCATTACTAATGCATATTCTTGCTAAGTGAAGCCTCTTAATTTTAAAAACAACCATAAATTCACATCTATATTTCCTATTGATCTCACACAGCATCAATATATAATTGGCCACGTGACTATATCCCTAAATAAAGATCAAGCAACTCTGGTGGGAAAAAATATGAAATTCAAGATCATGCATTTATGTCTCCTTTTTCAGTAGAATTTGACGTTTTGCCATGGAGTCCAGAAGAAGAAATTTCAGAAAGTATAGTCTGCAACAGGCTGTGAAGCATGCAGAAAACTTCATTGATATTGACTGCAGTCAAAAATCAGTCAGCAAGAACTCATCTATTAGTGAAAGCAGCTGCAAAGATGGAAGAATTAAAAAACTCTTCAGCAAAGCTGGACAAACCGGGGATTTTACCAACTTCTGGGTACAAAGAGAAATTGACGAAGATCTTGGATATCGGGTTGTTCGTAGATCTGTCCGAAAAAGCAAGACTCATGATTGTTTTTTGTCTATGGCTCAAAATACAGAAAGCTCATATACAGAAAAAGTCCAAGCTGAGATAGTGCCTTTTGGAAATAATAAAGGTAGAATTGTCAACAGCTTAAGTTGTTCTGAAGTTGAGATGTCCTGTGGGACCTTTAATGTGAACGGGTGTCTGGAAAGTAGGGCTTCATCTCAATCTAATCATTCAGTAATTGAAATTCCAAATCCTCCCACACAATCACTTCCGTTGGTTGCCAAATACAATCCAAGTACACGACTCTCACTGAAGAAAAGCAAAAGGGGTTTCCGGGCTTTATTTACTTCAAGGAAAAGCAGACAGGATAAAGGAACCTCATGTGGAACTAAAGTAAACAGAGGTGATTCTAAATTCTTCAATGGAAGAATAACTTTAAGGCCGAGTAAAAGCATATCAAAAAGTTCAAAGATTTTAACTCATGCTGGTGATTCATTAGCACAGTATTTTACAGATAGTGACCCACCCTCTGACTCCTCACATGAGTGCAGCAGCACCCTCTGTGAGGATGTTGCTTCCCTGAAGAGTTTTGACTCTCTCACGGGCTGTGGAGAGATCTTTGCTGATGAGGAAAACACTGACCAACTGGAGACAGTACATCACAGTAATGGTGTGACTGAAAGGTGTGAAGATAAACAGACTCCTTCGGGTGGTTCTTTCCAAGGTGGAGGAGAACAGCTTGCATCACCAGCCCAGACTGATAGCCTGGACATAAATGGGCTCTGGAAAAATGTTGACAGCTCTGTGGTATCATGCAAAGTAACTCAACAGAGCACTGAAAGCAAACAAGATACCAAACCATACTCTTCGGCACTGGAAAGCGAAACCCAAGAGTTGTTTCTTTCTCCTTTAGAGTTTCAAAACATCACAGAGAAGGAAGACATTGAGGAGTCGGAGAAGAACTTAGATGCTTCCAATGATCTGGGAACACCACAGAGTGATCATCAGGAATCAACCTCAAACAGTGACGAGGGATATTATGATTCATTTACTCCAGGACAAGATGAGGAGGAAAGCAAGGACTCACATAAATCAAGTGTAAGCAGCCAATTTCCTAGAGATAGTTATAGTGGAGATGCTCTTTATGAACTCTTCTATGACCCAACTGAGCCTGGGATGAGTCCTCTGTTAGATGAAGTGTCCGGAATGCCAAATGAAGTAGCTCCATCCACTGAAACTCCTTTGTCCATGCATAGCTTTTATGTAGGTGCTGAGGAGAACATGGCTCCATCTCCTACTATGGATGTGATCAATCAGGAAATCTTTCAGGGGAGTTGGAAAGGAAAAGAGTGTTTATTAAAACTGTGCAACACTGAACTTTCTTTGGCAATGGACCTGGTAAACTGTCTTAGACAGAAGTCAGAAACAAATGAATTTGGTGTTAATCTTCAAACTATTGAAAACCATGGTCAGTCAAAAACTGATCTAGTCAGTCTAAGAAATATGTCTGCTGGTCAATCTGGCTACTGTGATGAGACGGAAGGGGATCATGAAGATGATGGAGGTACTGACAATTTAGAAAAGGCCATATCAGCAGAACAGATTGATGAAACTGAAAATAATATGGAAGCTAATAATCAAAATTCAGCTTCTATATGTGAGAAATTATACCCATCAACAGTAATTAATGGAGATGGCTGGTCATCTAAATCAACTCCTGGGTATGACATTCCTGAGCTCTTAGTGAGTAATCTGAATTCCAAAAATGCTTTTCTTCCAATTTCTGCATCAGAAGAACATGCTTTAAGAAGTAAACCTCACAGAGAACTAAACAGCACAACAAAAGGGACTGCAAAAAAACTGGAAACAATGATTGTGATGGAAATTAACAAAGCTATCCTTTGTCCCAAGTGTAGACAATCTCTGGAATCTAACTATGCTGATGTGGTTTTGTGCTCCAGTTGTTTTGCCATGGTAGGGCACTGTAAAGCATCAGATGTATCAGGCAGAGTTAGGAAAAATGTAAATTATTCAGCACCAAGTATGGACCAGAGGAATGACTCCAAGAGCACACCACTACAAGAGACCGATAATTACGTGTCTCAGCTCCTGGAGAATTGTGTGCATCGCATCGCATCCTTGAAGATGAGCAGCAGAACTAATGAGCAGTTCAGCAATGCAGTTGCCACAGGTGACCCATTTCAAGGTGACTTTCAGAATAAAGAGGACAAATGCATTGGAACAACTGCTGCAAGACCCACTGAAAACCATCTACTGAATTATGACAGAACAACTTGGCAAATGAATGAAGTTCTGACTGAATATACGCAGCGCATCAGTGAGAAGAATATAGAAATGTCTTCATCTCGAAGCTCTGGATGTACTACAGTGGAATCGCCCTACAGAAATGCTACAAAGCATTCCAATTTTGGTGCTCATAGATCTAGGTCACTTAACAGAAAAAACAAACAAAAGTCAGTGTCAAAACAACCAAGCAGATGTCACAGTGCAACCTTTTTAGAGGCTTTTAATGTCACAAATCGCTCTGGCGAATTGCATTATGAAATCAACACTCCTGCATCAAGTAAAGGTGCTTGTGCCAAGAGGAACAGTCGTCGAACAAGTTTAAGTGAAAATGCATATACACCGTCTCGACCTTGCTGTCTGCCTCTCTCAAAATCAGTCTGCTCAGACCTGCAAAACTCTTACCTTACAGCCGAAAATTTCAAAGGTTGCAAAATGTCTTTGTCCCATCAAGGGACCCTGAGTTTAGCCCTGTCTCCCAGCTCACCTTCTGTTGCATCAGTTTCCAGGGACAACATTTTTGTATTGCAAGCCACATGCAGCTACATTGCACCTCAAGAAGGTTTCAATTGCAAAGAACGCAAGAAAGACTTCATGAAAAGCAAAAAGTCGGTAAGAGATTTTTTTTAGAGTAATTTTGTTGAGTAGTTTAATTTGCTTAATTTAAGCACTCTGAGATGCTACCCAAATCTAATGTGAAGGGTGCTATATGTGTTCAGTTTGGGGCACAGAAAGTGGTGGAAAGTTTTCTACTTACGCATAGTCTGTAGCCTGTATAAAAAAAAAACTGACTCTGTTCCAGAAAATAATACTTGTAGAGAAGACAACAAATAAAAAGCAAGTTGATGTGAATGTGCTCCAGGCATTGTTTTACTCCAGAGTATCAACTGCCATCTGGTGTGTGCCAGAATGCATTTGTTTCTGTGTGGCTAAGGCTGTAAATGTGACTGTGAGAAACATAGCAAAAACACATAGACTGCAATATCCAGTATTTAAAATTGATTATCACTCCTATTCAGTAATTGGAATCCATGAATGTTCATTCCATCAGTCGAACATATCCTGCGAATATTCCATTCCCATCTCTTTTTTCTCTCTCTACTATATCTATTCCAATTTCTAAACCAGACTTTCTGAAATAGCCTCCTTTTCTCCAACATTTCCCTCAACTCAACTCAAGACTACCCTTTATTGTCTTCCTGCCATTTCCACAGTCACTCGGATTATCTTCTCAAAACAGTGAGAGTGATTGGAAACTTGGTGCCATCAGTTGTACAACATTAAGGTGGTTGGCATGTAATAAGCTACAAAGGGCTCTCCATCACAAAGGTGAAGGTGAATGCTCATCAAATGATTGACAAGGAAATGGAGGCTTCGGACAGAGGCATTAACTGGAGTGTGAGTTTGCGAGTGCATAAGTTCTGAGCAACCATTTATGAAGCTTCACACCTCCAATTGGTGATTTACAGTATATGTCCTATAGCATGGTGACAAAACTATGTACTAATACACTATAAGCAAGCTGTATCACACACCATACTGTGAAATCCAAGCAAAAGTTTTATGCTGAAAGGGAATTGAAAGTCAGTGGATTCCAGTGTACTTTGTTTTAATGGTCGCAGTGAAACACAATCAATGTGTTAATCATGCCACTGGGCCAATTATTCATTTTTGTCCTGTACTCACTCTCAAGACGCTGGAATAACTATCCCATCTGACAAATCAATTTATGTTTAGATTATTTTAGCAGCTTTCCAAACTGACCCAGGGGATTCCATAATGGTGACATGCTATCCTAAATAGCGCATTGATTTTTACTCAGGGTTTAACAGTTGGGGGCAACTGGGTCATTAAGTAAAGTTATTGTCAAGTCTGCATAGGTGAAATCCACACTAAGCTGCTTTTTTCTACTCATTCAACACACGTATACAAAATGAACCATTTTTCTCTCTACAAGGACAAATAATTACTACTTTAACAACAAGAAGATATTTTAATGTTTAAAACACTGTTTGTTCTTCCTCTCCTTTGTTATGCTTCAATTACAATACAAATCTCGATTTAGCCTGCCTTTTCTTAATTTTTTTTGCTTATTTCCTTGGTTTTACTACATAATTGTTGTTTCCACTGGGGTGAAAAATGCTGCATTTCATAGCATGTATCTCATGTGATATCCAGCCATTCTTACCAAGGAAACACGTTGAAGTCTGGCTGCACTATTCTCCGTTCCCTATCCACAAACGGATCGATTTCAAGATTCTCACACTTGTTTTCAAATCCCTTCATGTCCTGGCACTCCCCTACCTCTCCAACCTGCTTACCCTCTAACCCAGAACCCGCTGCCTCCGCTCAACTGACTCCGGCCTTCTGCATGTCCCTAGTGCCCTCTATTCCACCTTGACTTGACTTGCCCATAGGGGTAAAATGTTCTCTTAACATTCTTTACATTTTTAGCATTCACTTATCTGGGCAGTCATTGTGCTGCTTTAGGTACCTGCACCAACTACTTTATACAAATGTCAACTCCTGTAATTGAGGTCACTGAAAGGAAAATATGTCAATTCCAATCTAACTTGTTCAGATAGATGACACTAAGTGGTGGTTGCAATAAGTCAATATCAACCCTATTTTTGCTGAGGTTAGGTTCTACTGAATAACGTTCCAGGCCATTAAGTGTTAGCCTGGTCTCGTTGCAATCAGAGCTACTACATTCACCACTAACGAATACAGTAGTCACAGTTAATGCTTCTATTTAGTGTTCTGCACTGAATTGTCTACCAAAATTGCATCGGTTTGCAATTCTAAATAATTCTATGTTGCATTGAATACATGTTTTTCTCCAATAAACGTCTTTTTTTTACATTTTTTATGTGTGAGCGACAGCAAGAATACACTTATGGAGCAAATTATGACCAAGAAATAACCACCAAAATACATTGTATCAGATGAGCCAGTCAGTATTCAATCCAACCAGTTATTTGCCATTCATCGCACATATTTTAACCTTTAAAGCTTTCCTACAGCCTCCTTTCTTAAGATAACATTTTTTTTGAAAAAAGCTGAATAAATATTTTATCATAATAATAATAATCCTTGCATTTGATATAGTGCCTTTCATGTCGGGAGGACATTGTAAAGCACCACAGGATTTACTGTAAAATGAGGTGACTGTATTTTGTGTGTGAACAATTTTGCTCACAAATAAACTCCTACGCTCAGTCCTTTGAACCCAGGAGATGGCATTGCTCCCTCTGCAATGCATTTGAAGAATGATATCATTGTGTTTGTCTGTTCTGTAGCTATTCTGTAAAACCCATGCAGCTGTTCTGTAAGTGCACTTTGACTCTTGAGGAAAAAATGGCCTTTGTGTTTTCTTTATCAGCCAACATTCTCTGGAAAGTTTTATAGCACAACTACAAAGCCAAGCTTTGTCTGCAGTGAAGAAATCCGTTCAGAACATTTTACATGAATGAGCCATAATGGTGTTCTTTTCTGAACATGTTACATTGAATACGAAACAATAATGTTCCTTCCTGCTGGTTCAGAACTGCAGTTTCACAATACGTATTTTTCTACTGAACAGCAACACATGGTTAAGAACATCTGGTGGAGGACTTTATCTGTCAAACCTGTTCAGAGCTGCACATTTTAATATGATACAGATTCTCATTTGCAGACTACTTGTACAGGATATGCCACTTAAGCTATGAACACTAGTTTAAAATATGTTCCAGCCTTGGAAGATACTGTACTTGCATTTGACATGGCACTTTCCTAATCAATGGACCCACATCAGGGATTTGGTCTGTCATTGTTTAGAATCCTATCATGACACGTTGGAAATGTGACCTAGTTGCTTTGCCTTTGGGGTGAATTTTCCACAAGTGGGAGCTGTGTATCCCACTTTGTGAACATCTTAATGAAGTAAACTCCTATAGTTTATAACACTATTGCCAGGCAATATCTGCCAGGAAAAAAAAGCAGGGCGATATTAATGAGGTATACAGATCACTTTCATTGCAAGATGTGAGGTCTCTGATCAAAGGAAATGTGTGCAGTTGTTGGCAGATCAAATCTATTACGAAAAGTTCCTTGTGAAAGAAATTGAAAGTTTTAATGGGTCACAGATGTTTGCAAAAGATTCCTTTGAAATCCACATATTACTGAATTAACATTCACATTTTCAGGAATGCTGGTCCAATTAGGTGTTTATGAAATATTGCTCTGTTAACAAATTAAGCAATCATGAGTGATTGTTTATAATGAATGCAATTTTTGACAAATCACTGCTGAAATATCTGAAACCATTAGCATTTTAATACAAGGAAGTGAATCAGTCTAGGTTACAAAATCCAATGTTCTTATACTGTTACTCAACACCAATAAATGCCTTTGATGGACTCATTAATATTTCAGCAGCAACTCCTAATCTAACATTTTCTTAAGCTTATTCCAAGATACAGATGTGCACTGATTTTTTTTNAAACACACCACACACGCACGACACTACACTTTTTATAATAAATGTTAAATGTTAATGTTAAATGTTACAACACAAATTTACATTCGTATAGCGCCTCTACACGTTGAGAGGATGTCCCGAGGCACTGGAAACTCAATTTGCAAATGCAATTTTATCTGCACCTCAACTTTTCCACAAGTTGAAATGTCTTTCAGTGGTTACAGAGATATTTTTGAAGGTGACTTTCCTGTGGCCGGCAGCAATGACCGTGGCGCTATTAGTTTTTGCTTTATTGGTCTTTCCAAGTGTTCACACCGATACTTTGTTTGGCGTATTCTCAAGTCAACACCAAGAACAACGAGGTAAAACAGTTCCTTTTCTGTTACAGCATTTCTGGTTGAAGGCAAGCTGAGCAGTCAGCCTACTTCTGCAAACCAGCAATGTGGCAATTTAACTTTGCTGACCAGTACAGAGAGATCGCAGGAGGTGTGAAGCCAGAAAATTAATATCACAATCAGGAACCAAACGCAGTTAAGCTAAGACAATGTTGTCATCAATGCTTTGGACACTGCAGAATAGAAATGATGGGATCCTAGGACAAGCAGTCGAGTTGGTGCCATTTAAATCAGCTCCAAAATGCCCTAAATATAAACATACCGTTGGAGGATTGTGTGTTGTTTTACTGCTAACTTGGCTTGTCATTGTTATGGGTAATTAAAGAGGAGCTATGTGCATGTGCATCAACAGGCCTCTGCAATACTATGCTGACCAGCAGTTCAATGGCAATTACATTTTATATGAGGACATTTGATTCTTCAGCACATTAGAAAATGTAAACGTATTTTATGAGGTTCACTTTGCACTGAAATGCTGTAAGAAAGGCATTAAACAAATGTAATCTTGTTGTCGTATGACGGGATGAATAAAAGGTTGTTCATATCACCTGCAGCTCTTTTGGAACAAAGATAATAAATGAAAGCTGTAAGAAGATACGGAAATTGATTTAGTTACAAATGTATACCTCACTAACCAGTTAAAAATATCTTTGGTGTTAAATTGCAAAAAGGATTACACGGTTGCAAGTCTTATCTGAGGCCTTATTTAAAGGTTAAAAACATAAACAATAAAACAGTGGAGCAAGTTGTTATCA